TCGCCCATAGTCAACGGGTGGATCAGTACGTGCTTCTCTTAATCCAGGCCAATCACCGTCAAACAGTCCTCCATAAGATGGTCCATACGATCCTCTCTGTCCACCATATGATCCTCCATCGTACGTCGTCCTTCAAGACCTTGATATCCTTGTGGCTCAGCATAACGACCTTGGTAGTTATCCCCTGGCACAGGTGAACCCACTTGTGGTCCACCTCTACGGCCTGGCTCAAACGTAGGTCTCTGCAATCCACTCGAAAATCCCTGGCCTAAGGAGTAGAACAGTGCATCCCACGTCGGAAGTGGTCTTAGAAAATGTCCACCCCCCCCCCATTGGTGCTGCACAGCATCCATAGTCGGTATCTGCCATCCATACGATGTTCCGACCTCATGCTGAGTACTCGCCATGGGTTGCAGTAGTTGCATAGGCTGCATGGCTTGCATTGTTTGAACAGGTTGTATATTCTGGCTAGGCTGAGTACTTTGCACAGTTTGCATGACTTGAGCAGATTGGATACTCTGACTGGGTTGATTACCTTACACAGCTTGAGTAGTTTGCTCAACTTGAGTAAGTTGCATGCTTTGACTGGGTTGACCACCTTTCACAGCCTGAGTGGGTTGCTCAACTTGGGTAAGTTGCATGTTTTGACTGGGTTGAAGCTGCAATTGCTGAAGCGTCATCGGTACACTCACATCATCCGCTGGTTCGACTTTGCGTTCTTCCGTCTCATCGTCATCGCTTGCACATGATGGCGGAGAGTAGATGGGCGATACCGAGCGTTTCTCACGGCTTGCACCAGTCGCACCTTCACTTGGGTGCGGCGATCTCAGCACCAAGTTCTCAAACAGGCGACGCGGTTCACCAGTCGTTGGCGTCGTATGCACGCGGCGCACGGAGTTAATCAGTGAGAGTGCCTGCTTCTTGGCCTTCTTCTTCTTCAGTCGTTGTACCAACTCAGGCTTCAGTTCCATGCCGGTGTTTGCAGTACATTCTGCATACCAATGGCCATGCTGGTCACAGTTAGCACAGGTATAGCGCTGTTTCTTCTCAGCATTCTTGCCCTTGCGCTGCCTCTGACGCTTGCCTGCATGTCCTTGTCTTGCATGTTGACTCACATAATTCACTTGGTTCGCATTTGACTGCGTTGTCCTTGGCGCCGCTAGTGACATCTGCTGTTGCAACTGGTTGCTTGAGTGTTCCGCAGTGCGCAGGCGCTGTAACGCTTCAGCAAGTGTCATGGTCCGACGATCATGCTTGCTCATCCAGAGTGAGTGCTCTCGTGCCAGCTCAGGGAACATCAACAGCGTGTTCTAGATAAGTAGACTTGCATGTTCCCATTCTTCAAACTCGCCCTTCGCTAGTCGCAGTCGGCGTACCATAGCATCAATGTCTTGCATATACTTAGTCACAGCTTCCTTGGGCTGCAGCTGACGGTTCATCAGCTCGCGCCGTAGGTAATCAGGGTTAACGCCATCACCCGCCTCGAAATGCTCAGTAATTCGTTGCCAAAGTAGTGACGGGGCATCCATCTGATCACGGATGGAGTTGATCTTGAATGTTGTTCGTAGATCCACCGAGAGCGACAATGCTAGGGCTGAGAAAGCCTTCACCTTCCTTGCCTTGTACCACTCAGCATACTTAGGCCTCTTGTAGCCCTCCACGGAGTCAAATCTCTCGGCACCATAGGTAATCTCGCCCAGCAGGCGGCTCTCAAAGTGCAACGGCATCTCACTAACCCACGCCGTGTATTCTTTCTTCTTTGATAACGGGGGCAGCCGAATGTCGGCCGTGTTGCGCAGCGACTTCGTATGCTCTGCGAGCTCTGCGTCGTCGTAGCGCCCGCCGGGGTTTTGGTTGTCCAGCATGCTTGGTAGGCTGCTCTGGGCTTCGCTGTGCCCGGGTCACTGCCGTCACTTGGATTGCTTTGTGGCGGTGGTGGCTGATTTCTAACTGGAAAGTTGCGAGTTCGCAATCTTTCAAGTAGATTTTCTACCAATGATCGGCCACCTTGAATTCCGGATAATGACCGGATAAGGTGTTTGGCTTCTTCGTGTGACAGAACATCATTGTCACGTCCAGTAGCTACATCAGCTACATTATCAGCCAATCGGCGCGCTCCTCGACTCCCATTCGTCAAAATCCCGCCAGCGTTTTGGTCTTCCACACCAGGTGCGTCCGTTGTCGAGCCATGGACCCTTGTTGGGCTCATAATTTGAGGTGACGCAGGGCGCGTCACTGGACTGCTCTCTAAGCGTAGGTCACTCCTTAGCGTAGGTGCCAGTAGAATAGACTTACACTTAGTTAGTAAAGCAATCAAAGGAGGTACGTAAACACAGTGAGTGCCGGGCAAAAGGCCACGACAGGGCTGCAGTACTGGTGTGGGCTTGCTCTTCTCTCTGAGGTTCGCTGAACCGCAAATTGAGTTGTGAGAGAGAGAGAGCAAGCCTCACGCAAGCCAGTACGCCTCTCCGCAAGTTCTATTCGATACATAAACTAATATAAACCATACTTTACCTAAGTCAGTGTCGTCGTGAGCAGCACGGCGGCACGGTCGCTCTTGTCCATCGATCATAGTAAACTTGGTATAACCGCACGCATCCGCACGTGGCACGTCGGTAAGTGCGCAGCCGCAGGCTGCAGCAACAGGCGTAGGATAGGATGTAGGATCGGCTGTCAGTGTCAATACCAGGCACTGACAGTCCACTTGTATGTACTGCTGGTGCTGGCCTCTTCACACAGGGGCTGGCATCTCACATCATGTAGGTACACACGGGCGGGAGCGTAAATGCAACCACGACGCGCAGTGCATCACGTAAAAAAATGGGGATGGTCGCGATGGGAGGAATTAATGGTGGCACCGTCCACGTCTCACGACACTTTTACCAATCAATCAACGCAGTGTTGGAAAAACCACTGGTTGCAAAAACCGGAACGACCAAAGCACCAGGTGTTTTGGCTCTACAACCAGGTTTTTCATGATTCTTTGGTTTTATGTGAATCTGGTGTGAATGGTTGAATGCTCAAAAGAGAAGAATATCACTCCAGACAAACGGAGTGTAAGCTTGGCTTTGCTTCTTGTGATGTAGAGCTGTACAAGGAGGGACCACCAGTCGGAAGATCCGTCAAGCCCTTCGCTGCTGAAGTGGGGCTAAAGCTGCCATCATTCGTCGGTACGACAGCGTAAGAATGTGCAATATTTGCTGTTTTTTTTTCATTTCGTGTGACGCTATGCATAACCTTGAAGCCTAGAAATGTACTGGCAAGTGTACACTAGCTGCTTAATACTCAGATGGACCGTGCATTCCTGCAAGGAAGTCGCCAACATGACGTCGCTTGAGACTCGGCAGCCTACTGTGAAGGATATGACTACGACTGCGTCTACCGTCGGGTCTGGGTTGTGCACAGACGATTGTGTTGCTGAGCCTGGACTTCATGGAGGTCCTGCGAGACTACTCGGTTTATATCTTCACTGAGCCTGTGCTCAAGCGGATTCTGTCGGATGGCTACGTGCAGCTCACAGCGTGCATGTTGGTGATTCGTGAGCAACATAAGAAGCGTTGGCGGTGGACGAGAAGCTAACGGGTGTTTATTGTGTAAGGATCGACGTGCGTCAAGACATGTGCTCTAAACATCAGTATAAGACAACCGTGTACGAGATGAAAAAATATATATGAGCAAAGCTGATCGTGGCTGTATCAAATCATGTCTTGCCACCTTTATCTGCTTTTACCGCTGACGTCGAAGTGGCTGCGGACTTGCGAAGTGCCAAACTGTATCACAAAATTCAAAATTGCTATAAGCTCTGTAATAACACACAGATAGCGGTTTGAACATACCTGGCTGAATCGGCGGTGAATCTGGTGTCTTCGACAGCTCCACCAAGGTAACCTTTTGACCTCGCAGCCCTAATAATTCCTTTTCTTGAGGAAAGAGTCTGTCGTTGTGATTCGGAAAAGGTCGTCTATCTGGGTCTGGGATCGACGCGGACGACTGTACTTTAATCGCCTCTAATACGGTGGCAAAATTGGTCTCTTCGGCGGTTGAAGTTACGTCAGCAAGTTGCAGAGATCCAGCGTAGTCTGGCGCGCTGCCCTCACGAGTAATCGGTGGATCATCGTCACCTTCTATTTCACATAGCACTGACCTCCAGTACTCAAAAGCAGTATCCGGCCCGACGACACTTTCAACTCCGGCATCTTCTTCGGGCTCGCAGCATTCAAAACGATCATCGCGATCTCGAAGTCGCGTGCGCTCCGTTGGGTCGATGAGTCGGGTAGCTTTGTTGCTCTGAGAAGCGTCGCGCTCGGCATCAAATTCTCGTACCTTCTTGCGAACTAGAGCAAGCTTTCTTGCCTTTTCTGGGGACATTTTGTTCCTCTTGGCGGTGTGAATTAAGGCCAATTCGCTAAAGTAGCGCTCACACGTTGCTGTGTTGACAGCAATAGACAGGATTCCGATTGCAAGATCTGGTAACTTGCTTCCAGGCATCTCAGAGCGCATACATTTCCAGTAAGAATGAATCGAGCTAAACTCCGCGAGCGATAGCAAGGTATCTTCCTCATCCACGATCCACTTGTGCAAGTCTTCATACAGTCTAGACGTGTCCTTGCCGAGATTAAAGCGCCTAAAATAGTACACCCCCACACGACACAGGGAGCCAACTGAAGTCAGCGGTGTCTTGTCCAGGAGTTTCTTGCCAGCTTGCTTATGTGCGGGGTGCAAAACGAGTGCCAGAATCATAAGCGGCTGCTCGCACTGGTGCCATCGCTTTTCCACTTCGCGAATAAGATTTTGGCTACCGTACCGATGCTTCACAAGCCCAGCATAGATGTCAAGATAGCACACTACGACGTCTGCCATGGTGTTTTCGTCACGCTGAAGCTTTAAAGAAGCATAGGCAAGAGGACGCACGACCTCTTCGGCGTCTGCAAGCGAGGCCCAGAATGTCCGATCAGCATACACTCGTAAAGCAGCTGGATAGTCACCAGCGTCTCTGAACTTCACCTTTAGCATCTCCAGCGCACTGCGAACCCTCAGGAGCGACGCGAAGCATCCGTGCATGCTATTCCATCTCGTTTCGCACAGCTGCTTCAAGTGTAGCTTGTAGCCGTAGGTATCTCTCATACACACGTTGGCTTCGACTAGCCACTTGGCCGACGAGACATTCAGGGCGTTGACAGCATCCGACGCCTGCTTGGTGACTTGGGCGTAGTCAGACTTGAGTACGGCCTTCACCAGATTATTCAAATCGTGCGCAAAACAAATTACGAAAGCAATGTTAGGCCAACGGATGCTCAATATTCTCCGAGCTCGACCGCACTGTCCCGCATTATCAGTAACCACAGCTCCAATTCTCCAACCGTCCTTCTGCATGCTGAGCATCACCCCCTCCATTTGCTCGGCGATGGCGACACCATCATGCCGAGAACCGGTGGCAAAAAGACCGTAGACTAATACAAAGCCGAACAAAGCCAGCTGGCACCCTAGTAGGTGTGCACGTGCGATGATCTGCCATACATCAGACAAAAAGTTAACGCGACCACCAGTGTTGTCTTGGGACTTTCTAAGTGTTGAATTCTCATGGGTTTCACAAGCCAATGCGTATTCATCAAGAATTGGCCCACCAAAATGTCTTGCGCCGTGGGAGGGGATCGACACTATCACTCATTTTGTTTGCTTGACGAAGAAGACGAGCCGTTGACTGGCGCTCAATGAAACTGTCGGGCAAGTTGTTGTCTGCTTGGAATTCAAGAAGTAGACGCTGCAAAACTTTAGTATCGTCCTCTTGTGATATTCCAGCATAAAATTCGTCAATCCGTTTCTGTCGTTTTGGATTTAGCTGCTGAACTAACGCGTCGTAATCGGAGGCTAAGCGCTGCGCTGTTGCCACGCTGCCATCGTCGCCTGCTTCATGATCGGATCGATTCGAAGCCAAAGCGGCAGTGCTAGTAGCTTTCACGAAACCAATAAATCCAGTACAGCGCTTTAGATGGCTCTTAAAGTTCTCGATCCTTCGTTTTATTCTTCTCGGTTCAGGTAGACTGTACGTCCCATCCGGCTGCCTGGAGTCCTTGTATTCTTGGTCACAATGCTTGCAAACGTGCCACGAGCGGCCGTTCCCGCAATCAATTTCAAGATTTACAAACTCCAAGCGCTCTTCACTCGCGGGATGCCCCATACGCGGCAGGTGTTCTGTTTCAGCTCTCACGCAGATCGACAGTTTATTTGGAGAGGAGAGGGTATCTAAGACTGAGAAAAGAGAGTTCGTGCGGTGAGTGTGGATTGTGCTAAAATACCAGCATCAAGATCAGTCGGTCTCCCTAGATACTAGTACTACTACCGGCCATCGTGCGCTTTTGTCAACCCTCAACCTGGTCGGTTCAAAAACCAGTCCTCGACCAGGTGGCCCATGGTGGAACTGGTTTTTTGACCTGGTTGAACCATGTTTTTTGTAAAACCAGTAAAACCAAAAACCAAAAACCAGCCAACGGTCTTAAAATTCGCTTTGTGATCGATCAACTATTGGCCAAAACGAAGCTCAATCTAATAACAGTCGATGCCCGTCACGCTCAGTAAACAACCGCCCAGCATTCAATGCCCGGAGCTAAGAGTCCGAACCTCAACTGGCGCGCCCTTGCCCTCGTCTCCATCGCCACCTGCACGCTCACTGCCGCCAGTATCCTTCTTCTCCTCGACAGCCGCCAATTTCGATCTTCCCGCCGCCGGAGCAACAAGAATAAGCCTCATCACTCCAGTTGCGAAACCTCTGACGACGACGAAGACAACATGCCAGGACCAGGTGAGACAGCAACATAGATCAAAAGAAGGAATTGGCCTGACTAACTGTATTTTCTCCTTCTGCAGTCGTGTACCTAAACAATGCGAATGCGTGTCTGGACTACGCGGTAGGCGCGGGGGGTGCCGATGAATTTGACGACGCTAAATATGTAGTAAAGCAGATCTGCCCCGACTGGTGAGACGACGTGGGATTGTAGTCATCTGTGTACGTGTAATACTGGGCTAACAAAGGTATCATATCTGACATTACAGGATGGACGCTGCGAACGATGACATTTCGGTCAAGATCATCGTGGGCGGCATCACCAACCGCCTCTATCGCCTCATGTGGGGGGACAAGGCGCGTGAAGTGATGTTGTAGTGTGGTGTATTGTGGCAAGATAAAACTTACGTCTTTTTTGCTGCATTATCTGCAGTCAGTGCTCGTACGCCTGTACGGCGACCACACGGAAGAGTTTATCGACCGCAGTATTGAGAACAGTACGTGTGTTGTCCTAACTATGATTATTATTACTGGCTGCTGTGTGAACTCATTTGTCTATGATTTCTCGTTGTCACAGTGCTTTTCGCGTTGCTGTCGGAGCGCGGATTTGCCCCCACTTACTATGGCCGCTTTAAGAACGGTCGTGTTGAAGCCTGGTTGGACGCCAGACCACTCGAGCCAGAGGATATGGGTCAGACTGAGCCCATTAACTATCTTCAGATGATCGGTCGCGAGTTGGGCATCATGCATATTATGGACATCCCCGAAGACCGTGCGCCTGTGTTGTGGACCAAGATTGAGCGCTTCGAGAAGCTGGCGATGGAGATCGAGCTCGAGGATCCGGTCAAGAACGCGGCGCTAGAGAAGCTGGATCTTCCGAGTCTGCATCAGAAGTTGGAGTGGCTCAAATCAGTGCTTCCCTCGAACCAGAACCGCGATGGAAAGGACCTAACGGATAGTCTAGACACGGACGAGATCACGAAGCAGGCCGTAGCTTTCGCGTCCGACATCGTATTTTCCCACAATGATCTGCTGAGCGGGAATATCCTCCATAACCCAGATTGGGATCGTGTTCAGATCATCGACTACGAATACGGAGGCTACAATTACCGCGGATTTGATTTTGCCAACCACTTCTGCGAGAACTGCGGCTTCGAGCTGGACCTGGGGCTATACCCAAGTATTGACAAACAGTTTACGTTCTTTAAGGCCTATATGAGCTCAGCAGCGCCCAAAATGTTAGCCCAGCTGGAGGCTAACCGTGAGTCCAAGGCCTTCTTCCACGCGTTGTATGACGTGGTGAACCGCTACGCTCTTGCTTCGCACCTGTTCTGGGGCTACTGGGCCCTCGTTCAGGCGGCTCATTCCAAGATCGACTTCGACTTCTTTGAGTACGCAGCTAAACGTTTTAATGCCTTCGACGTGCACCGCGCGTTCTTCATCGGATCTAGTTAGTTATTGCACTACATGCACAACTTATGAAATAGCAACAATCCTGAGCAGTCGTGATAGCAGAGTCCATGTGAACGTCCAGTAAATTGCGCAATAAATGCCTCTACTTTCCTTCTCTTATGTCTACAGCAACACGCATAATAAATGCCACGCACGAACACACTCGCAGTGAGAAACGTGAGCGAGAGGCGAAGTTCTTTCCAAGTGTCTTGCTTTGATCCAGCCAGGAGTGGTGGCACATTATTTTGTCAGCGTCCTCTACGCCCCGCCTTCGCCTCTCCAAATCTTCAAAACCTAAAAACCAGATTAACGCTTGCGCTTGACATCACCCGAGGTCTCGAGGCTCATGTCGAACGCCGGCAAGTTCTCGAGTGACGTGGACTCGCTGGTCTTCTTGAAGTAGCGGTTGATGATAACTGGAGGCTTCTCCGGCAGTGTCAGCGTGAGCTCCACGTGCATGCGGCCCCGCGGATCCAGCGTGCGGATATCTGCGAGTACGCCACGGAAGCCCGATAGCTGCGTGACAGTCTTGATCTGTGACGCGTCTCCCGTGACGGTGATGAGGTTGTTCTTGACGTTGACTTCTTGGCCGAATTTGAGCTGCTTAGTCTCAGTGAAGATGCGCGTGCGACGCGTGATCACAAAATCTCCGGGTGTTTGGCTGATAATCACCATGAGGTCCAGCTTGTCTGCGGCCTGGCGGGCGATCAGTGGCAGTCCCATGGCCTCCAAGTAGTCGTTGGTCGAGTCCGAGTCCTCGCGATCAAGTGACCAGCGGCCCGATAGCTGCAGCGCGCCTGCACCCGCCGTATTAGGCACAGCAGTGGCTGCACCCACACCGGGTGGCACCACGTTAGTTCCGGACACAGGAGCCGCGGGCTTGAAGGCAGCGCTGCGAACGTGGCTGAGGTTCATCTGGCCCAATTGGTTCATGGAAACGGCCGTTGGCTGCGCTGTTGCGGCTCCGGCGCCATTAGCAGCACTCGCTACGCCCAGGCGTGACGGGATCGCCATGGAATTTCCCACAACGCTCGTGGCATTGGCCGCATGCAGGTTGGACGCGTTCTTCATCTGGTTGAGGTTCATGGCGGCGATGGGAGGCAAGAAGTCAAGCGATATTAATCTTAGTTGTATTAATAATGGAGCTCTTCACGGTCGACAAGCAGAGATTGGATAAATTTGATAAAGCGTCGGTGAATATGGTTGGTACAAATTTCTTTCGCTAATGCATTACAATGATTGGTTGATATTAAAAGTACACTCCTGGTCACAATTATACGGCCAGTGCCCATACCCGATTTCCTCTTACACCCGGCACCAATATGTTTGCAAATGAAATTTGTGGAATTGATGATTTAGGAACTAATAAATCTTTAATCTTAAAACAAAACTTAACTATTCATATTTTTTCAAAATTAACTGTATTTCGTAACGAAAGTTTTGAAGCGCCTCTTTTTTTGTTTTAAACTCCGTTTTCGTACCGCAGCTTAAGCGCTCTGCTGCCACTACATGTACTGTATACGCTACAGGGGTGTGTTAATAATAGTAACTTGATATTGATACCAAGACAGCTCCCACGACAACATACGGGCAGCTGTCTCGTTCACATAAGTGTACGGAATACACGTCCGCATTTACGTGTAAGCTCGCCACTGCATTACATGTAGTTTTTTACTGCTGTAAAACTTCAAGTACAATCGTGGGCCGCTCTCAGCCAGCAAAATCTGCTCGAGTTACGAACATTGCACAGGCCTGGTAGATTGCTGCACCCACGAGTCCATCCTGTTTGGTAATCTTACTACTACTATTTCTTAGAACCAATCCTCAGGTAGTCTTCCAAATACTGTACATGTGTTGGGGGATAATCAATCATACACAGATTTTCTCCTCAGCAAAAAGCCGAAGTAGGGAAGTGCGATTTGGTTAACAGTGCGGGACTCAGATTTCGACACGCGCGTCTGCAGCTCAGTCGGCAACTAGCACAATGGAAGCCACACAAGAGGAGGTCAAGACGTCCACGACGAAGAGGACTGAGACGTCACCGCAACCAGCCGCGCAAGAGGAGCTCCAAACGTTTGCAGAGCAGGAACAGAAGTCGAAGGTAAAGCGGAATCAGAGTGATGGTCATGGAACTTGCGGATTAACATGCTGTATGCAACAGCGATGGAAGGAGGCGCTCGCGCGTGCTGTGCAGACAATTGCGGAGGACCGACGACGCCACTCCATTGATGTGGGCAAGTTCACGTCCTTCGCGGAAGTGGTCCATGCTGCGGCGGCTTTTGACCGCGATGGCCACATTCGCATGGACTTTGAGGAAGACGACGACAGATACGACATTTCGGAGCTTCAGGAGCAGGACAAGCGACGTGAGGACAAGTCTCTGCGCACCACGCGACAGAGCAGTCGGATCGACTACAACGCGCCAATTATGACCATCTGCATCATGATCGTCGGCACCCACGGTGACGTCCAGCCCTTTGTCGCCATCGCCAAGAGACTCATCCAAGACGGCCACCGCGTGCGACTGGCCACTCACGCGGTATACAGAGACGTCGTGATGAGCCACGGCGTCGAGTTCTACCCACTAGCTGGAGACCCCAAGGAGCTGTCGGCGTATATGGTCAAGACAGGCGGCCACTTGATACCTCTCAACCTGGAAGCCATTCAGAAGGATGTGCCGCGAAACATGCAAATGATCGAGGAGATTTTGTACTCGACGTGGCCAGCAGTGTCCGAAGCAGACCCGGATGGTGGAGGCCCTGGAATCCCCGGTAAACCCTTCCGAGCACAAGCAATCATCTCCAACCCCGTCACATACGGTCACATCCACGTGGCCGAACGTCTCGGCGTGCCGCTTCACATTATGTTCCCGCAGCCGTGGGTGCCCACGACGGCGTTCCCGCACCCGCTTTCCAACATGCCGTATACTGGCAAGCCCAAGAAGAAGAATTACATGTCCTACAAGATGGTCGATCTGCTCATGTGGCAGGCGATCGAAGGAATGGTGAACGCGTTCCGCAGAGACAAGCTGCAGCTGCGCAGAATTCGCAAGGGAGACGGCGGCCGTGATATCCTGCTGGACCTTGCGATTCCCCATGCTTTCATGTGGAGCCCACATCTGGTGCCGAAGCCAAATGACTGGGGCAAGATATACGATGTCATTGGAACAGTTACGCTGGATGGCCCAAGCTCCTCGTACACGCCGTCACCAGAGCTTAGTGCCTTCCTGGGAGACGATGCTGGACCAATTTTTGTGGGATTCGGATCGATGGTTATTCAAGATCCGAAGGGCGTTACCAAGATGATCATCGAAGCTGCAGGGCAGGCGGCTGTTCGTGTGTTGATTCAGTCGAGTTGGAGTGATATGGCAGGAGATCTGACGATTCCCGACAATATTTTCTTTTTGGGAAACTGTCCGCACGACTGGCTTATGCCTCGTGTGTCGGCCGTCGTGCACCACGGCGGTGCTGGCACTACAGCAGCAGGTCTACTTGCAGGTAAACCCACATTTATCGTACCGTTCTTCGGAGACCAGCCGTTCTGGGGTCGTGCTGTCTTTGACGCCGGCATTGGTGTGGAGCCTTGCCCGATTTCCCAGTTGACAAGTGAGAAACTTCGAGTTGCATTTGAGGCGTTAGAGAGTCCGGAACTTCGTACTCGTGCGATGACATTGCGCGATTTAATGCGTCATGAAGATGGCGCAGGTGAAGCGGTGAGAAGTTTCTACCGCAACTTGCCTCTACAGCACATGCGTTGTGACTTGGATTGTGGGCGAGCTGCAACGATGTGGAGCCAGAAGGATAAAATTCGTTTGTGCGATGAGTGCGCGTTTGTGGTGACCTCGCGCCCTGAAAACTCAACGAAAGATATTGTAGAGTACACTTATGTGGACTATTCAGCTCGTGGCCCCGAAAACGTTTTAGAGGGCGCAGCGTCTGGAGTGGGAGCATTCGCTCATGTGTTCGGGTCGGGTTTCAAAGATGTGATTGTCCGGCCTGCGCAAGGATACCGCGAAGAAGGTGCAAAGGGTGCAGTTATCGGACTAGCAAAGGGCTTGGGTGGATTGTTGATCAGTCCGTTGTTGGGTACAGTGGTGTTTGCTGACCATCTTGCTACTGGAGCGTACAATAACGTTCGTGGGGGTGAAGACAAAAAGAAGGGCTCACTCATTGGTGATAATAAGAAGTTGCTAAACGCAATTGGCCTCAAGACTCGCAACAACGTTCACAATGGCACGATGAGTGCAGATGAAGTGGTTGACGGCAATGACTTGCTGTCCACACAAATCGCTGTTCAGCTGACACCTGAAGAGAAGAGCAAGCTTGAAGACAGGTTCAACGCGCTTGTGAAAGAGCGCAAATTGCACGGTCAAAAATCGTTCAAACTCGCAAAGAGCAGTTTGTCACCATCAACATCCATCGACAGCGCGGAGGAAGCTGCAACTGTTGTCGTAAATGTTGATGGAGCCACTTTCAACGGCAGCGACTCGTTCGATATTGCTTTTGGCGATGGTGTGAAGGTTGGCGAGGCACTGCACGAATACGAAGTTCAAGAGTTGGAGGCTGAGGCACGCAAGGAGGAAGAAGTCCATAAGAAGCGTCTTGAGAGCCTGGACAGCAATCCGCTGCCGACGATGAACATTTGCATGATGACAACCGGCACCTGGGAGGAAAGTGTCCAGCAGTACGTGGCAGTCGGAATGCGGCTTAAAGCGGATGGCCATTGTGTGCGGATCGCAACAAATAGCGGTCACCGGGAGCGCATTGTCGGTGCTGGCTTAGATTTCTATCCACTGGGAGGTAGTGCCATCACAACTGGAAATTTCTTGCAATACCTACACCACCGAAGCCAGGACCAGCCTCGCCACAAATCTCGACTGCTTAATCTCGCTCATCGCAAATTGAATCAGCGGCGCGAATCGTTTCCCGAAGTGGACGACCTGCGCGAGCTCGTGTTTTCGTTGTGGCCAGCCTGTGTGGATGTGGACCCTCTGGTGCCTGGGAAGACCTTCCGCGCAGACGCCATCATCGCACATCCTTACTTGTTTGGACAAGCCATCGTGGCTGAGCGCTTGGGTGTGCCTCTCCATTGCATGAGTAATAATCCACAGTCTCGCACTCAGGCATTCCCTCACCTGGTTAGCTCGAACATGAAGCTTCACCGCCCGTACCGATACGCACCCACGAACGCAGCGTCGTACGATGTCATTGACAACGTGCTGTGGAACGGTATGCGAGATGTCTTAGACGACTTCCGGCATTCTCTCGGGCTTACTGGCAAGAGCATTTCAAACAACTTACTGGCTGAGTGGCGCATCCCGCACACATACCTGTGGAATCCAGCAATTCTCCCGAAGCCTCATGATTGGGGCAGCGAAATTACAATCGCTGGCTACGTCAAGTTGGAGGCGAGTGACGTCGACAATACCGATCTCTCTGCCATCGAACAAGAGCTGAAGAGATTCGCTAGCAGCTCTGCTCATACACCGCTCATTTATTTTGGCTTCCAATGTGGTGACTGGGACCCGCGTCGCGTGCAAGATCTCCTGGGTACGCTCGAGAAGGCTGCCAAAAAAGCAAACGTCCGTGTTGTATTCCAAGGTTACGAAAACAGCAACGATGGTGCCGCGTTCTTTGTCGGTGGCACAGATGTTGTGTTTGAGATTGATCAGCATTTCCCAGTCAAGCGTATTCTCCCGTATGTACATGCTGCCATGCACTGGGGAGACCTGTCCATCACGTCGACATGTCTGGCAGCAGAGAAGCCTGCGTGTGTGGTCCCGCGTAATATCACTCAGCGAATGTGGGGTCAGGCGTTAGTTCTGTCTGGAGCGGGCGTCGAACCTCTGGAACTGGATGCACTGACGCCGTCAAACCTCATCCATGTGTTCCGCGTGCTTCTGGACACCAAGCTCACTCACTGCGCCAAGCGTCTTGCTCCGAAGTTCTCGTCGTCAACTGCAATCGAGACGGCTGTATCGGCCTTTTATGGCAATCTACCGCTAGAAGGCATGCGTTGCGACCTGGATCCAGCACGAATTGCTCGCGTCTACGACTCGCTCCACGGAATGAAGCTGTCGTATGAGGCACGACTAGTCGTACACCAGGTCACGAAAGATGCTGGCAGCGCGGGTGACCTCAAGTACAAGCCTCTGAAATACTCGCAGCACCACCCGCCACGGTTTTCCTTACGAGAATTGGAGCTGCTTCACCCGGCTTCGTCCAACAACCTCAAGAAGCAACCCAGAGCAAAAGTTCTGTACACATACGACCCTGCCAGTGAAGAGCTGGCAGCGAGAGTGGACTACGAAAGGCGGTCATTGACGTCCCCATCCTCGTCCAAGGAGGCGATTGTGTCCAAGAAGTTTGGAGGAGCTCCCTACAAGAAGCTCTTTCATTTGTCCCGTGCGCAGTCCATGGCGCCGAACGTGGTGGAGTTGCCAAAATTCTGGAATTCCCCCGAGGAGCAGGCTGAGAGCACTGTGAAAATCAACGCTAAGTACGAAAAACTGCTGATGGCTCGCAAATTCGCTGATGGTTCCTCGTCTTCGTCAGCATCATCAGTTGCACTTTAACTGCAATACGGGCGCTCTCCAGTCTCAACAAATGGGTAACGTGCTCGATTCTTGTCTCAGCGCGACGTTCGATTTCATTTGCAATAGATTCTTCTTTTTCTTGAATTAATTTCGTGGATATAAACTGAGTTTGGCTGTTTGCTGTGCTGTCGTAGGCATAATCTGGACAACGGAGAGGCGGTAACAAGTTGCGGTGGTGGTAACTTTCTACTCCACTAAGGTCAACTGCTCCGCTTCACGACGCTGTGTTGACTTCCGAAATCTAAAGAAGCGCATTACTGCTTCACGTTTGGTGGTGAGCTGCGGCTTCTTGACAAGACGCTCGTAGGCTACTGTGGTGGCTTTACGCACTGCAGATTCCTCTTGTGTAGAAGACCAGAACAGCTCGATCTGCTCTGGAGTTGCAACGAGACTTCCGGGATTGGAGACGATTGAGGAGCAGCTTAATGTCCTGCTACCCGGGAGATGACTGTTATCCTCAAGGAGGTCCAGCGTTTGACGGACAGCATCGAATTGGCAAGAAGGCTTGACTTGTTGGGAAACTTTTACGGGGTTGCCCAGGATGGAAGATGTCGGGGGAAGATTGCCGCCGAACTGAAGTGGTTTGTACGGCACAAAAACTTTGGTTTTATCTCGGATCGCTACGTAAACGGGTAGTGAGAGCTTGAGCTTGTGGGGAGGGTCAAACACTCGCGCGAGTTTGCTCGGATCGACGTCGCAGCGCATCGCCTCAAGTGGTAAGTTGGCGTAAAAGGTTTTACTGCGGCGTTCACTGGCTTTTCTCGATCGAAAGTGGCGGAAAGTCTCTCTGCTCTCTCTTGGAGCTCAGGCTTCAACAGATCCCGAAAGTTCGAGGCCAGAGACTTGACCGTGCAAGTCTTCCAGTCGATCAATGGGAGACCCACTTGAGCTTGCTCACACACGCACGCCATGAAATGATGCAGTGTATGTGTGCCGCAAATACCTACAGGCTTGCCAGCCGAGAGAGCTTCTGCAGTAACGTCGGGCTCTCCCCAGTGGATCGCTGCAGCCACATTTTTTCCTTTGAAAAGGCGTGCGTACTCTAGATCGCTGCGAATCTGGAGGACATTCGCAGACTGGTAGGGCGCTCGCGTCTTGTCACCAATCTCGCGAGTCTGGAAAATGATGCGTACTTTTTGCTCTAGGGCACTGACAGCAGCGTCGATGTTTTGTAACAATTTGTCTAGATCATCACGTTCCATGGCTCGCGTCGACACACCGAAGTAAATAACTGGAGGAGATGGCGTCTTGAACACAACCTCGGCGAGCTGACTGGGCCACTTAAAGCGATTGCCTTCTTTCTCGCGCTTCGCTCGTTTCCTTCGGCTAAGACCGTCCGTAGATCCGAGCGTCACATGACCCACAACTGACAGCTCAGCTCCCCAGTCCAGAGGCTTCGGCAGCAAAGCAGGATTCCAGAGATAAATGTGAGGAATCTCCCATCGAACCAGCGGATCAGGAAGATTGCATCGTTTGTTGAGCCCGATGAAGGCGCGAAACTGGGTCAAGACTTTTTGGACGCCCCCGTGCCATAGAGTGGTATCAACCACCCCATACGTCATCAAGTTACTCTGACACAAGGTCCTGATTGCCGGTTCAATGCCGTTGATGGAGCTCAGAGGGTGAGGGAAACAATATGTCGGTGAAAGAGGATCCAAGCTCGCACATTGGAGTGAAATTCCAAGTCGTTCTGCTACGTGAACGTGACCAAGAAGCAGTGGATGCCACAAGAGTGAATCGGCTCGAAAATGAAGCCCAGGGAGGTTAGCACCACCACCGTGAGGGTCGGATCCGTAGGCTGCTGGCCACAGCGAGTAAATAAGCTCCTTGAAGGCTTGAATGGCGCCTGTACCGAGACGGCCAGGAGTTGCCACCCGCGCTGCGTTTTGGCTTTCGTACACAAACTTGGCAAAATCTTGAACGCTCTCGCGTGCTCCAGCGAGTGGATAAAACTCCAAACCGCGCAACATGATCTCGGTGCGAAACCGTTCATTGGCTGCAATCCGTACACGATGTCCCTGTTCCTTGAGCTTGATCCCGATGGCTACAAACTGCTTCACTCCGTTATCCCACGTACCGATAGCCGCAAGACAGATATTCATGTGTGGTATCAGTGGGTTTGACGCCTTGGATCTTTTGGTCTTTGCATTTGGCTGGATAGACTCAGAGGCATGAACGTGAGATGCTTGAGATGCGATGGCTGACAAGACCACCGCATTTGCCGATTCACTTGGAATCTCAAGCTTCAGTTTGACAGTCCCAGCTGACGTAAGGCGAGTCAGGCGAAGTCTTATTGCTGACCCGCTTGCTGTCCCCGAGCCGGTAACTTTAATAGATGAGCTAGAAGCGACGACGCTACTGTCTGATATAGCACTGCTGCTGTTGCGACGAAGACAAGGTTGCACGGCAGAAGGGAGAGCTCTGTGCGGTTCGTGCGAGCTTGAGCCTTCTCCATTGATTGGCGAGAGCAGCTGCTGCATGCAAACCGCTAGTCTCTCAGCTCGCTGGGCCAGCAAGATTGACTCGTAGCGAGCACAGTACCGATGTCTCACAGACGGCCGCATCCTCCCCAGCATCTTCTTGCGGTCTTTCCTGCGCGCGAAAATCACGATATCCACAGCATTTGGACTCGTGGCAGAGCAAAAGGTGTCTGCCAAGCCATCCTGGACCCCCAAGGCTGCCATCAGATGACGATCAAAGACATTATTCAGCTTACGGTGACCTTCTTCTCGTTTGGCGTTTTTCCGCCCAGCCACTGCACGATCAGCGAAGAGCACAGCGCCATGAACAGGTCGAACCAGCAAGTAGTACACGCCAGTGACTGCCCCCTTGACAGCCCCCACCACACCGCCATTAATCAAGCCTCTAGCTGGCTGAAGCAGGACTCCTGTTAACCCTCCCGTCAACTCGTGGGCAAAGACGATGGCGCCTGTTGCGACTCCTGTCAGCAGAGAACTGGGACCCCGAGCGGAATAGTCGACGCAGTGGTAGCGCACCAATTTCTTCTTTTGGATTTCTGAACGCTCTCGTACGATGAACGCACACCGGTCGCAAAGCTTGATCCTGTCGTGTACGCTCCATTGCATGGCGATACGCTGGTGATCCAAGTCGCACCACATATCTTGCGTCGGTAAATGGTGATAGAATCTGCGTACAGCTTCTCCAGCGCCGTCTTCTCGCACCATGAGATCTCGCATGGCTTCAGCTCGCTTGCGCAGGTCTGGGTTGGCAAGTTCAACGAAGGCATTATGCAGGATTTCAGTCGTAAGTTGTGCGATGGGGCAGGGCGGAACGCCAACGCGAGCACTCAGGACGGCTTGGCCCCAGAACGGCTGATCTCCGAAGAATGGCACGATGAAAGTCGGCTTTCCAGCAAGTAAGCCGGCAGCGGTAGTGCCAGCACCTCCGTGATGAACGACAGCCGATACTCGGGGCATCAGCCAATCGTGAGGACAATTGCCAAGAAAAAAGACGTTACTGGGAATGTCAATATCGCCAGCCATATCGGTCCAACTTGACTGGATCAACACGCGCATCTTAGCGTGTGTAGCGGCTTCGATGATCATCTTCGTTGTTGCAAGAGGGTCTGCTAACACCATGGAGCCGAAGCCCACGAAGATCGGACCTCCGTCGTTTCCCAGAAATGCCTCAAGTTGTGGAGATGGAGAGTACTCGGATGCAGGCCCCTTCAGAGCCACAGTGCCGATGACATCGTACAAATCTCCCCAGTCTGATGGTTTCGGCACAAGCTGAGGACTCCACATGAACGAGTGCGGTATACTCAAGTCCAAGAGCAACTCGGAACCTGAATCACCATTGCGGATCGGATGCAGCTTCAAAACTTCCGTTCGAAACTCGTTGATGACTCCCTCTGTTCCCTGCCACATGATCATGTCGACGAGTTTGTAGGAGAGGTAGTTCTTCTTCTGCCATTTACCAGTATACGCCAAGTTCGACAAGGGGTGTGGGAATGCCATGGTTGGCACCCATGGCTGAGGAAACATGATGTGGAGGGGAACACCGAGACGTTCAGCGACGTGAACATGTCCGTACGAAACAGGGTTAGCAATAATGGCTTGGGCTCGAAATGGTGGACCAGGAACGCCCGGACCTTGTCCGTCCGGATCTGCTTCGGAGACTGCAGGCCACGTGGAGAAGACGATTTCGTTGATCATTTGCATGTTGCGTGGTACGTCCTCAGTCAACGTCTTGATCTTCATCGGAATTAGATTACCCCCCGTCTTGACCATGTAAGCAGCCAGCTCTTTCGGATCGCCTCCCAGTGGGTAAAACTCGATACCATGACTCATCACAAACTCGCGGTAGACGGCGTGGGTGGCCAATCGAACACGATGTCCGTCCTCCTGCAGACGTAGCGCAATAGCTAGAAATGGTTGGACATCTCCGCGAGTGCCCACGATGAGGATGCAAATGTTCATCAGTGGCGGAATCAAGAGCAGCTCGTCGATCTCTCCGTCCGCTGGCAACTTTTTGCTTGCTGTGTCGAAGTCCTCTCTAGGTGATTCAAGCGACTGAATTTGATGCAAATGAGCATTACTTGGTCGAGGTGGCTGCAGATTGATGGCGTCTTCGGCAACAAATTCCAACTGGATGTGGCCGTCGGATCTCTGTAGAGCGATAGCAGCAGCGTGGAGACCATCGAGACCATTTCCCGCTATCGACTCGATCGCAGCAGACAAAGTCGAACAGGCTTCTTGTTGGATGGAGTGGTGCATTGGATCTGAAGTACCAAGGAAACCCTCCGGGGGTATTAGCTGCGCAGGCCTGAAAAAGAAATGAACTGTCGTCTGTGAACTATCGTCAACTTTTAGTTTGGTTTCCAACAGCGCAATCACATGGCGACTTGGGATTACCTGGGCTGGGCACACAAATTCTTTACCTGGCGAGCTGGTTGTTTATGAGAAACGAACGAGTCTGGTTGGATCATATCCGGTCATCAAAGCAAAATCGGGTGATATTCAAGTTACCGGAAGTCGATTCTGATTGCCTTGGCGCGTAGCGAGCGGCTCTCTGGGCTGTCGCAATCCGACTCACGGCTGCCTTCGCCATTGTAATACACCTCCAAGCGTAGCTGTTCACAAATTTTGCTAAAGAAAAGCGAGTAGACGGAAGATCTCGGCAGGTCATTCGTCTCGGTATTTTCTGAAAGAAGACGGAGCAATTCTGCGGGGATGTCAGTCCACTTGAACTGTCGTGCACTCACTAGCAGCTCTGCGGGAGCGAATACGGAACATAATAGCCTCTGTGTGGACTGCAATTGAAGGTGGACCGACATGTATTTCCCGTCTGTGCTCGTCATTATTCCCGTCCACGAACACTGAGGATCCGCTTCCAAATCGGCATCAATTCCCCCGCTATGGCTGATGTGTTGCCTCATGCACTCCATCGCTCGTTCCTCGTCAAACAAGAGTGACATGGTAAACGGCGAAGGTCTACACAGAACCCCTTCTGAAATGCTAGGCACTTTCTCGACGTGGAGGAGGGAGCTAATGTGGGTCGTCAGGTTGGCTCGATTCAACTGCTTCCGAGTTTCGTTCAAGACTTGATCTAGTTCCAGTGATTCTGGGAATCCCAGCACCGCCAGCAAGGTAGAACGCTCAAGCTTGAGCGTGCATCGCGAGCTGCTTGCGGGGTCATAGAGCTCCAGTCTCAAAGATAGCGAGCTTGCTTCAATACCTTCACCCAAGTAGGCAGATAGCAGGACTTGGTCATGACCCACTGCTCGAATCGTCTTGAAAAGTCTGGCACTCTTAGCCTCGCGACTGGGATTATCGAGCGGAGAGTAGGAAAAATCGGAGAGAACAAGACGGTCACCACGGCTGTCGCTTCGCTGCTCAACACGCAGATGATCTAGCACCACAAGCGCCAGTGTCCGACTTCTCTCCTTTTCCATCTCGGCGATTTCTGCAGCGCTTGCGTCTTTGTTGACTACGGGCAGCAGCAATTCTTTATCTTCATCGCCGGCTACATGTACCAGATCACTACCCTCCAGCAACAGAGACAGCCTGGCACTGGTTTCACATATGTACGCATCCACTCGCAGCAGTGTAAAACTTCCAGCACATTGCTGGACCTCGTCAAACCGATGACTTGCAGCAACGTCGAACACGGTGAGAAGTGTACGACCACAACCAGGAACGACCTTCGCTGTTGTCAACACCTTTACACCGCGCCCTCCGGCTCTTCCACGACGGCGAGCCTCGTCAATCAACTTGACAGCGTTCGCACCAGCGTCTTGCTCGAACGTCTTTGTCACTGGGGTGGCCTTCTGCTTCGCGTACAATCGATCACGCAAGAATGTCACCTTCAGACGATCACTCGCTTGAGCATCTAAGCGTGCCACTATAATATGCCGCATTAAACTGCCCAATGAAGTGGACGAGATGAGAGCAGGCTTGTCAGGGCCCACCACCTCGCGCAAGTCTCGATGTCCATGGATCTCTGCCTTAGTGCTGCTGGATGCAGGATGATACACATAGAACTTGATGGAGAACGAATCGCGTTCCCGTACACGATCTGTTGGAGACGCCAGGGCCGGCTGCAAGTCTCGGAGCACCTCAGCGCGCATGGTGACACGTACAACCAGGTACAGACCGTTGACACGATAGCTGCCGTGGTGCACAAGTTCCTCCGTTTCATAGCTGTAAATTTTCCGTCTGCCGTCGTCGCCGTCTTCATCGTCACTTTCTGAATCTCTGTCGTCCAGCAGGCAGGTACAAGAAACCACAGACACTTGTGCACTCTCGCTCTTCTGCTGGATTTGGGGTTCTGTGGACTGTTCAGCGATTCCCAAATGTTCATCTGACGAAGCCTGTTCTGTGGACGTTTTGTAGACACCGACAACCTCCGTTGCCCAGAAGGAGCCACAAGGTAAGTGGACCACCACGCTTCCCTGTTTCCCGTTGCCACCGTTTGGGTCCCATTGAAAGTAGCGACGTACGAGATCCCGACTAATCTCTCTCCGTTCTTTGCTGGTTGACTGCTCCCACGACAGTTCTATCGACAGACTTGCCTCGATTTCACTCTCTTGCAGTAGCAGAGTTTGCTCTAGACAAGACTCAGGAAGCCACACGCGATACCGTATTGCGTCTGCACTTCTTTGGCTTTGCTTCGTTGAGTCTTCTGCGTCGGACTTTTCATCACAGAGCTCGACTTGAACGTACGCGCGTATGACCTGTTTCCTGTGCACCATTTGATGAATATCCTCCAGAACACGAAGCGCACATGGGAATCTGGCAATAACTCGTCGTCGTAAACGGTAGCAAGCCATCGTGTCTGCTTCTTCCGCAGACTCTGGATCGTCATCATCGCTGTCTTCCACACTGGCACCATGCACTCTTGACGTTGGCTTCGCAATACAGAAAACTCGCAGTAGCACGAGTTGTAACTTGGAAGGTGTCGTACGTCTCGATAAGCGCAGCAATTCTTCTGCAACATCCCTTGGCAGGCGGATACCACGATAATTGCTGGATCGAGGAGCGTAGAAGGCCGCTTGAAACTCTCCGTCTTCGTGACGTTCGATGAGCGTGAACACCAATCTCTCACCTGATTCTGCACCTGGTACTCGAACTGCGCGACGAAGTAGCACACGTCCAGGAGAGCTCTCGGAGGTTTTCACACTGAGACGTAAAGAAGGCTCCAGTTTCTGCTGCAGTCCGGATATCCCCATTTGAGTCCTCGTGACGCAGTAGAGGTGCAGTCGATCAAGCACCAGTGACGGTACACGAGATGCAGGAACACATATTCGTCTTGCTTGACTTGCTGAGAGTCGACCCAGAATGCTTTCGAGTTCAACTGCCAACGTTAGCGCGATAGATTGGGTGGAAGCTGTCTGACTATTGCTGCCGTGTACAAACGCATCCACCTGGACATTTCCGCGGGAAAGCTCAGCCATGGTGACGGTGGTGAGGTATCCGTTAAGCTGTAGCACGTGTCGATACAGGCGAAGGGCACGAGGACGCAGCACTAACTCAAACGGACTTGGAGACTCGATAGACTCGGGACACTCTTCGAATTTACGTTTCCGGAGCAAACAGAGGCGAGCGAGACGAGCGTACATTTCCGTATGTGTCTTGGGCGGTAATCTATCCGTGCGTCCTGTAGGGGTCAAGAGGTTGGCAATGTCGTCTTCGGAGATCACAGTCATCCATCGCTGACCGGAGCTAGGCGAATACACACATGCGAAGATACGTCGACACTCGTGGAAGAGCGTCACGACACAGCGCTCTCCCTCATCGGTAGTCTTTTTCCTACGCTTTTGGGTAGATAAATTGCCACTGGAACTAACGAGCAAGTGCGCCGTACGGTACACTCGAACATCAGCGAGCACAGAATCCATTAACTCTACCACAGCTGAGTCTTCACCTGCTCCATCCTGCGCACAGTCTGTCGGGCAGTTCTTAAAGACAACCACGCGCTCAAATAGACCGGGGACAGGCTTGAATCGCGTGATTTCTGGCGCTAAGACGCCTGTACCATCACCTGCTATCATCCGAGCAGTTCGAGTAGCCGATTCGATCCAGGCTGCAAGTGCATGCACAAGTCTACTAGAACCAATCTGCGACCGAGAAACTGCAGCATTCGGCCACAGCGAGTGGCGTAAATATCGTTCCAACGCCAGCAAGTTGACGGGTGGAATAGTAGTGACGTCCACTTGTTGGAGTTTGGCACGTAAGAATGCTGGCTGAGCCAGTAGCCGACGAGATAGTCGCCAGCTCACGGAACTTGTGCCGACATCACTTTGTGAAGGGCCCTCGTATATCTTACCCGGAGTCAGCAAGACGATCACAGCCTCCATGACCACCACGAACGCTGGACTTGGAGCAGGAGCCAGATCTCCATTCTTCGCGTACTCTAACATCTCACGAGTGATACAATCATCTGCCAGCTCAAGTCTCAACCTTGTCGTTCGATCAAGAGCCAACTTCATGTCTGCGTCCACCATTCGTCGTACAATTTCCTCTCGATAAGCTTCTTCTTCCATGTCACTGCCTTGTTTCAGTTCAAAAACGTCGCTGCGGTTAGTGGTCGTCCCTCTCAAGAGAACACACATGGGTACTGGATACAGTCCACGCTTGACCGTGGCGAAGGAACTACAGAAAGCACGTTGCGTCACATCCCGAAGCCCCACGTCGCCTTCGAGAATCACGCTGTGTCCTAGTGCCAGGGCATCGCGAATAGCCTTGAAATCGAAAGTCTGAGTAGAGTCCTGGACGCCCAAAGACCTCTTTGAAGTCGCAGGAGGACGTGAAATCGTGAGGAAGAGGCCGGGTAAAGCTGCTTGGAGCTTCTGGAGAATAACCGCTCGTGCCTTTCGTGGGACATCGTTCGCCACGACGAGGACCAAGGGGCGAGGTCGGTGGAATGGGTAGCCACGTGTCTGAGCCAGTTCCGCTGGAACGAAGCGTCGAGCGAGCATTTCTTCGCTGTGGTCAGCATCTCGTCGCTCTGTAAGTTCTTGCTGAGTTTCTCGCTTACTCAATGTTCGAGTGACCACTAAGAACGCGTCAGTTGTGCTGCACTCTACAAGATGCTGAAGTCGAATGATAGCGCAGAATGCTGTCGTCCACTTGAAAATGGAAACTGCAGCTTGCCAGCCTCGAGGTATCCTGTCAAACGTCTCAACTCGAAAGTCTAGATCCCTTTCATACGCCTCTAACAGCGCTGCACCAAGCGCCGACTCTCGTAAATAGGGCGTCGACGCAGCAACCCCAGCAGCAGAAAACCCTCCGGACGGTGACATCCAAGCTCTGGCAGCTCCAGCAGCAGCATCTGCGACTTTCTGCATTCGACGCGTGACTCCAACGCCACAGCGTAGGAAACGAGCCGCTTCACGCCACCGAGTAGTAGCGATCTCCCATTCATCATCAGCGTCACTCGTGAAGATCATCAACAAGCGAACAATCCCAAGTACAAGAGCAGGAAGAGGCTTCTCTTCCGCTACCTTGCTTACTTCCGATCTCATGAGAATGGGCAGTGCAACCATGGCCTGACAAGCATTCGCCAGCTCGTGCAAAGCCACAGCGTTGATGGATCGAGCCGCAAGCGCCAGCTGCAGCCTCCAGCTCACCAATTCTCTGATCTTCACCATTCTTACTCGCCCGCATCGACCACGCGCCACTTTTTGAATACGCTCCGCTGATTGCACCTCAAGTCGCCGTCTTCGCTTCTCTCTCGCTACATTTCGAGCGACGAACCCTCTGGCAACTCGTTGTATGTGTACCGATGCTGCGTTGTGCCAGTACATCTCGGCAACGCGCCGTCGAACGAGAAAGCCTCGTATAGCTGCCTGGATAAATGTACTCGCAACGACGAATTCGATCTTCATCTGCGCGAAAAGCTCTCGAGCCAACATCCCACGAACGATTTTCTGGATCTGAGTTGCGCAAAAGTGCTGTACGAACGGAGTAGCTTGCTCGTGGTTATCGCGCTCAGCAGCGGCAGCAGCTCGAAGAGCAGCTTGCTCTTGATCTTCACGTCGCTGCTGTTCTTGGTTCAGACTCGCAACTTTCGTCGCGCTCGATTCGATTCGCTTAGCGTGCTGCTCAACGATAAAAAAGAACGTTAGATGCTGTACATTGTCCCCAGGAAGTGTTATATCTACGTAGTATGGTTTACCGTCGCGTCTTTGACAGCTTTGTGCTGCACTTTGAAAGTATTTAGCAGCTCCTCCTTCTTCTGAATGATAGCAGTTTTGCTCTCGTATACGTAGCTCTTCTCCTGAAGTTGTTTCCACAGTATCACCAGTTCGCGCTGAGCTTGAGTAGTAAAAGCTCTCAGCTCTTCGCCGAAGCCCTGCAGCTCGGCACAGCTCTCGAAATACGCCACGTCCATCGCTTTGCGCTCCGTCTCCTCTCTCAACAAGTCTAGAAGCACACCAAGCTGTGCAGTTGCCTTTCTATCAGCTGCCAAGGCTTCCTCCAATTGAGCACCTCGAGCTCTTCTTCTTGGCGGAGGAGGACGCTCAAATGATCGCCATTCGGGTTTAGAAATGGGTCCCAGCATTCCTGAGCGTTTCTTGGCGTGGAGTTTACCTGGAACATCTGAATGTGTGGGATCTCCGAGTCGTAGCTCGTTCCCTTCAGCGTCTTCAGCTGCGTAACTCGACTTTAGAGTAGCCGGGACGTTGTAAACGTTCCCCGACAGCTCCATCATATTAAACCGACGCTGCGCTTCATCTTGAGGCACCACGCGACCGTGAATATCTCGTGCGTATCGACCGAAAGCTGCTTCCTCTTGCAAGACGACACTCGCAGCTTCATGAAGCCGTGTCATGTCCATTTTTCCGATTTGAGACGGCAACACAGAGCTGTATTTTGGGCTACGAGCTTTTACTGGAGTGCGAGACTTTGGTCGGACAGTTCCGGTCTTTGACGGCGAGTTAGGGACAAGATCTTCATCGTTCACCACGCGCGTTTCGTACGGAGTTTTGGCTCGCTTTCTCTCTGCTACCACTCGAGCTAAAGCTTCAGCATCTTCTCCCCCATTCGAGCTGCGACGATTGTCAAGAACCGACTGAGAACGTTTCCCTCCGACTTGCAAGAAGCGATCGGAATCTGCAGTCTCGGTTTTTCCTGTAGCCTGAGAGCTCTGCAGTACTTTCGCTCGACAGTCGAGGTTTAGAGGCAATACGAACGGATTTCGCTGTAACGTGAAGCCGAGCCACTCAACGAGCCCCGTGTGTTTACTCAAGAACTCCAGATCCGAAGCGAGTTTAAGCAGATAATTGACCCCGTTCCACTTGAATTGCTGCAGCTCGACTGGCGCGTTGGCTCTGTTCTTCTGTTTGTACGTTCGCCAGGCCACAATCGCCTCCACTGTCTCCAGTGTCGCTAAGCGAAGCAAATCTAAAACGTCAATAGTCTCACCAAGGTGAGCACCCCCAATACGACCAGCTGTACTGGCTCGTCCTAGCCGCTGCAGATAAGCTTCGCGAACGAGGATGCACTTGAGAGTCTCCAGCTCCTAATCCACCACCGCAACTTGTTAGTATCTTATTTTTTTACCATTTTATTTTACGACAGACGTCCTTCCTCACCTCTCCCGAATCGAGTTCTTGGGTTGCACAGCCACTTGCAACCGTGACAGACGAAACCTTAGGCAGCGATACCCCCTATCGACACTCCAGCAGATATTTAGCAAAGCTCATTGAGGAGCGCCCCCCCCCCTCATCGTCATGTTTGGACGTACCTTTCCATTGAACCCCAGTCGTCGAGATTTCTTGGGGGAAGACTTCTTGCTTTTCTTGATCGGAGGGAACTTTGGTGATGTGGTGGACGGAGAAACTGGAACTGGACGCTGTAATGGAGATGGACTTGTGCAGGTAGTGCTGCAATATAAAAAAAGGGCTTCGTTAGATCTACACAACTCTCAACTAGCTATGATACTTATTGTCGAAGCCCGTACACTTTGCCCCTCGTAGAGCTGCCGTTTGCTGTGGGTGGAGTGCGATCCATGTAGCGACAGATTGGGGATTATTGACAGCTACAGAGCACGGGTCCTTGGGTCTTCCGCACTTAGTGACGTCGAGATTGTTACCAGTTTCACGTCAACGGACTCTTTTTAACTGAATTAGCTTTCACCCTCTCAATGACAAAAAGTTTTCATGAAATATGCGGATCATTTCTTCTACTCGGCCACCACTATTTTTATTTGGCATCTTCGAAGACCTCATGGCTGCAGCCCGCAGGTGGAAGAATATATGGTTCTTCTGAGGCAGGTGGCGGCTGATAAAAACTAGAGACAGCGTCAACAAGTGGCTCGGCTTCGGAAGCGCACGACTTGAACACGTCGGATCGATCCGAGACGTCACACTCGGACGTTCGATCGTCTTCTTCCACTTCTTCAGCCGGTCGTGGTGGTAGATGCTGCGTGTTGTCATTCTCATCATGCGATTCGGCAGGCCATGGCCGATTAAACGTGAGCCGCAGCGGCGGAGGGGGAGAAACAGCCTCGGCATCCTCCCTAGAAGAACTCACAGAGTCTTCGTATGACGTTGAGATGCAGGTACCATCGCCATGCGAGATGTTGCAATCACCAGAAGTGAGTGAGGCTTCCAGGTCTCGAGCATCGAGTTCGTATGGCTCTGCTGCTCTGACGACAAAATTCCGAGGGCAACACCGTCCTCATCCGAGGTGTCGACGTCGTGTCGATCATTCAGGGTGTCTCGTAAGTGCGTTATCGGCAGAGAACAAGTTGACTCCTGCATGGTCTGAGGCTCGTCCACTATGGTGTCAATCGTCGTCATAGTCGAATTGTCGCTCGGACTACCATACAGAATGGTGAGGGGAAAGTTGGTCGGCATGGTCTCTCGCACTGGGTCTTCCAGGATGAGTAGCGGAAGCGCGTCTGACCTTTGATCAAGGGCCGTTGGTGACACAATACCATCCTTCACGCATCCAGTCTCAGTAGCAGTCGGAGCTGCGTTCACGCCCACCGTCGACAACGATCCGTTCAGCACGTTTTCCTTAGGCGTCGCCTGTGCTGGCATTTCAGCAGAGCGATCCTGGGGATAATCGGGACTTCCAACTGGAGCGAGCGATACCGTCTCAATCGGGTGCTCTCTCACCAGTTGCGTTTGCAGTTTTGGCATGGCAGTATCACGCTTCGTCGCGACAGGATCAACAACCAATTCACTTTTACTCTTCTGTGCGCGGTTTTCCTCCAGAAACTTCCCAGCGAGCACTTCGAGCTTTGCCATGCACTTCCCCACGTAGAATTCAATGGCCAGACAGATCGTGCTGGCTTCCGTCGTGCGGAACAGGAAGTCTTGAGTGACGGTATCGCGCACGCTTGTCCTTGGAGACCCTGGAGATGCCGGAGCTGGGCTTCGACACTTAAGCAGGCAGCACAAATAGCCTTGTTGAAACACAACCGACCATTTCTCGAGGTCAGTGTAGTACCACGTACTCAGTACAACCTCCTCTTCATGACCTGTACAAAATGACACACCGTGTGCTGAAATCTCTAGCGACGTGGCTTCAGTGGGACTTGTATGCCCCGTCATCGCCAGCTTCACTGGGAGCCGAAGCGTTTTATCAGGAGCGATAGTTGCGTGTTTCTCGACACATTCAGTTAGAACATGTAGCCATATCTCGTACAGCTCAGGCTCCAGAGCCGCAAAAGTCCACGTCCGATACAGCGTCACCACGTCGAATGCGTGCATTGTTGGGGAGTTGGTATGACTGCTGCGACTCACAGGACTCGAGGAAGACACCGGACGGATGCACAGCACTGAGCTCAAGTCAATGATTCGTCGCTCTCTCGGAGCCTCCGTCATCCCTGGACAGTGAGTGATCTTGTCATAGTAGCAGAGAAATCCCCCGACCGGCGTCTCGAACAGCACGACGAACTTCGGATGCCACGTCTTGCGTAGATGAAACGTACGCGCATTCTGTCGCTTGAGTAATTGTCCCTGGAGCTTGAACATCCTCGCATAGTGTGTGGACTGGAGTAGAGCGGTTAGTGGCTGCATCGTTTTCGGGACTGGAGGTTTGTCCCGTGGTTTCTGTCTCGTAGACGCCTCAGTTGGCGACACCGAGAGACAGGAAGCGTGGAATTCGCACAAGCCACTCGTGGTGAGCACTCGAGATGTGTTTGGATGTGTGGGACTGAGGTCTTCATAGTTGATCATCACATGGGAGGAGGAGGAAGCTTCATCTTGTCTACTGCAGCTTCGGTCGTTGCATCCCACGAGGTTCTCGCACCCAATGACTCGACAGCAAGCGTCGATACGTTGCCTTAGACTGTCCGTATCACCGAAGAACATCAACACCTCCCCTCGATGTATACCAGCGTTACTGGACCTAGGAGAGCTCAACAATTGTCGGAGAGAAGCGTCCATGTACGTTCCATTTCTAAGATACCAGATTGCCTCGCGAATATGCTGCGACTCCAAGCTCTGAAAGACGAGATAACTTGGTTGTTTGGCCAGTTGAGGAGTCGGTCGAAAGCGCAGTTCCAGTCTTGTCCCTGCTACCTCACAGCTCTCTAAAGTCTCGTACGAGTAGGAGAACAAACAGGCACTGCGATCATGGCAGTCTGGCGTCGGAAACACGCGAAGTTGTTGGACGCCCAACGTGAGGCCACGTAGGTCGCTGCCAATGGAGCAAGTGAAGCAGAGGAAGCCGCTTCTGATAAACTCCAGTCCCAGTCGTTCGCGACTCGTAGCATTCCGCACTGGCTGCTCGCTCCTCAGCAACTCTCGACGCTTTGCCATCGGTAGCATCGCTGGTTGATTGAAGCCAGCAATCGCCCGACGCTGCTGAATTGGCGACGGTAAGTTCTGTCCGATGAGAACTCCAATGTAGATTTGTTCAGGAGGTTTCTCAAGGTCTGGGAGAGCCAGGATCGCAGTGAAATGTGCCTCCAGCTCCGTTAGAACAGGAAAGACGAAGGTTGGGGACGTAGAGCCATCGTCTAGGACGAACCGTACAGACTTTTCGCTGTAGTCCCACACGATCTCCTTCATCACACCAATAGGAGACTGGAACATCATTTTGTTCTGGTGCACTGTGATCGCATGGACGATCTCGACCGAGAGTCCTAGAGCGATGTCAACTGCTGACCCTTGAGGGCCAGAGCGCATTTTCCCGTGATGCACGGATGGCTCGTGGAAGCTGGAGGGGTCTGGGAAGCTGTAGACATGGTGACGAGACCCTGATCGACCTCCTCGCATTGTCGCTAACACGTTCACACACGAGTGAATTTGTTTCCAGTTGCCAACAATAACGAGCGAAAGTTACCCAGCGACCGATATCCTAACAATAGCGAGTGCAGGAATCCAAATTTACAAGCAGCTCTACTGGAAAACAAAAAAAGACTTGGGTCAGCACGCGTTCGACTCTCGCGTTTAATCAGAACGCCAATCCATTCATTCGTCTTTGCGTTCTGGCACTATGAAGACACTTGAGAAACAGGCGTTGAAAATCCGCTCGGCGCCTTGGAAATACGGAAACTGTAGCCACATCATCACCAGCAGCTTCACGTGGTAGAAGAGCGGAATCCAGCCGATCTCTCGCCCGATCGCAGTGATCAAGTAGTCGACAGTCACAGCGACACTAAAGTAGGCGATCCACCATTCGTAGCGCCGTGTCCGCTTCTCGCCTAGCACTCCGATCGTGACGTAAGCGGGGAAGCCAAAGCCCATGAGCGAGCAGCCGCGAGAGGCCACGAACCCAGGTGTAAACATGAAGAGAAGCCCGAAAAGCGCAGGACCCTGAGACCAGAGATCCTTCGCCAGATGAACGTGACGCTCTGGCACCACACGGAGCGATACCAGCATCCGGATCAAGAAGTTTGTCTTCTCTTCGGCCTCCGGGTGGACTGCGGCTTCCCGTTCATGGATGCAATTCGCGTAGGGGCTCACCAGCGGGCTCAGCCAAGTGTAGAGCGCGATGTCGCCTCGAGTGAACGGAGAGTGCATCCAAACGAGGAAAATGTTGCAGAAATGCAGCGGCGCAGTGACGAATGAGGTCACAAAAGCCGGCAAGAAGAGCGTCACCATGCCGATGACGCAGACTGCCAGCGACCAGAGGACCCAGTACTTCAGACACGCTTCGTACGACCTCCACTCGTAGTCTGGGAGGCTGATTTTCTCGAATTTCTTCATCAATTCGTTGGTGGCGCCTGGTCTCGACCGTTTCGGGTACAGTCTCTTTTGTCGGATCACTCCAATGGAGTGTAGCAGTGGATACCCGACCGACAGCAGGCCAAAGAGAGCTTCACTACTCAGCACATCCATCAAGGAGGTGGGCAGCCAATACAGCGCCTCGTAACTCAGTGCAAAGAACAGAAAATGAGGCAGCAGAATGGCCACGACACGCCATTTGGCACTCAAACTGGCCACGAACGCTCGATATCGCAGCTCTAAGGACCGTCTTGTGCGCACATATTGAACTCTGGCCTTGTGGACGTATCCCTGACGGATACAGATGCCTACAAACAGCACAGTAACAGCCACGAGAGCCTGATGCAGCGGATCCATCTTGCTCACGTAGTCCGCGGCCATTTTAGCGGCCGTGAGGACGTGAGGCAGCACTGCTTCGCCCGCAATAGCTAGAGCTTGAAGTATGGGAACTGATATGAGCAGAAGGAAAGTTCCCCATAGTTTTAAGCACTGGAACGTGGCCACGATGGCGTCTTCGAACGCAGAACCGATGGCGCCCCAGTCAGGACTTTGGGTGAAGAGCTGGGCAACATCTGGGACGTTGAAAGGGTCCGAGGGAAGGAACAGGTCCAGCAGAGAGTTGGTCTGAGGTAGTGCGTCCTCCTGCAGACCAGGAATTAGCAGTTAAGAAAGACAGGAGTTGGAGAACCAAAAGATCCACTGGGCATTTGAGCCACGTACCGCGAGAATTGGGACATGATCTTCAAGATCAACGCTTGAGCGAGTTTCGGGAAGGTGTGCCTGCAGCTGGATGAGGAGGAAGGAGGCCACCAGAGACCCCAGGGCGGCCAGCACGAGCCGCCGCATTGTCGCGATGAGTCGTGGAGTTGATCACTGAACACGTCACTAGTCACTAGGGATATCAGGGCTGGCACAATTACGAGGGGATTGAAGAATTTCTGTGACGTGTGAGCGCTTAGGAATTGTAAAGGGTTACAAAAAGGAGCTGCACACACGTCGCAGACTAGAGCAAGTTGTGGAGCAGCGCACGAAGGCGGTCCATCCCTGTTTTGCTTCACTGACCATGACCACTTATCTGTTGTCTACAAGCAAGGATGCAATGAAATGTTGTATCTAATATTGCAGCCCTCACTCTCAAGATGGCTAGATGTTGGAGCAGCAGTCAAGTTGCAGGCAACTCCGTGATAGGTGGTACATCGTTCCATTCGTCACTCACTCCCTCCGCTGCTGCTTACAGTTAGGTCGAAAGCCTAACGGCATGGTCCGACACTGACACTTTTCCCATTTTTCTTCATTATTTGAGGGCGATGGAGCTCGGACGGATGCTAGCGTTGATGCTGGTGGCCGCGGCCTTCCTGTGCTCTGGGAATTTGTGCATCTTCGCGTCCAAGGTCGACGGCCTCGTTCCCTACAGTAGCGTCACTGTCACGTTCCTCATTGAAGTGTTCAAGCTCTCCGCCATGCTAGCAGCTATCGTCGTGACCGGTACGGCAATCCCCGACCACGTGCAGCTGCACAAAACCTTCTACTATGCTGGACCAGCGCTATTAAACGCACTGGAGGGCAATCTGAACTACGTTGTGCTGCGATATTTGGACGCTGCAACGGTGTCGGTGCTCTGGAATTTAAAGATTCTGTTGACTGCCGTGCTATTCCGCTATGTACTCAAGCATCCTCTGTCGGAGCTGCACATAATGGCAATTGGTTTGCTCATTCTGGGCGTGTTGACCAGCCAGTCCGACCGCTTCCGACATAACGACAGCAACTCGCCCAAAGACTCGCAGGATGTGGCAATCGGTTTGTCCCTAGCGCTGGTTGGCGTCACATTGTCATCCTGTGCGAGTGTCTTTGCTGAGTGGACGTTGAAGCGACAGTCGGAGTGTCCGTTCTTGTGGCAAAGCGTGCAAATATATGGCTTCGGCGTGCTGTTTAATGCTCTGGGATTGGCGTTAGTGGACAGGGAATTATTGCTCTCGGAAGGATTCTTTCGTGGTTACAGCGACTGGACGGTGGTTGTCATCATCGTGAACTCCATTGGAGGCGTCTTCATGGCCTGCATCCTCAAGTATCTGGACAACATCGCGTGTGTGTACTCACACTCGATGGCGATGATGTTCACGACCCTTTTGTCCATGATTTTCTTCGCCTTCTCGCCGTCGCTGGAGTTTGCTTGTGGGCTTGGGATTCTGGTCATCTCCATGTACCTGTATCACCACCCGCTAGCACAAGTTGCGACGGAAAAGGAAACTTCTCCTGCTGTCAGCGCTACGAGCAGTGAAGACGATGATAATTTGCCTTCTGTTGCCGTTTCACTGCAGTTTAAAAAGACCAGCGAGTACAAGGAGGTGCCACGCGATACAAAAGACCACCTCGAAAGTCCTGAAAGCTCTTGCATTAAGGTGGCCCAAGCTTGAGGTAGCTCTGGCAATGCCGCAGTGCAGCGTACTAATTGAAACCTACTTGGTAGTCTTTCCGGCTTGCTTGATCTGCCTGGTAAGGTACGTGTGTCTCTGCATGAGCTCAGCGCGACGTCGCTCGAGGTCCACGAGGTCGGTCTCTCGCTTGTCAAAGTCTTCGATGAGCAGCTCCGACTTGGCAAACCCGTCCTCACTTTTAAGCCGTGTAGCATGCTGTCGCGTGGCGTCCCTGTCCTTCTTCTTGTGTGCGAGTTGGTCTCGATTGGCAGTCAGAGCCTCCTCCAGCTCTTGTGAATCTCGTTTAAGCATCTGACTCTCAGCCAGCACAAACTGGAGCTTCTCCTTGATGTGCGTCAACACCTGCACTGTGCTGGTGGTTTTCTTGCGTAGTTTATGAAGCTCCTCGTTGCGCTCTTCGATCTTCTCGTTCAAAGTCTGGTTCTCAATCTTGAGCTGCTCAAAGTCGATCAGGTGAAGGCCCTCGGCGAGCTGTTCTTTAGCGTGCAGCTGTTGCTCCAATTTCTTTAGGTGCGTGCGGAGGTTGATATGTTTCAGTCGGACCTTCTCGACGTCTTGATCTTTGCGGAGTTCGGCAGCTTCGAACTGGGCGATCACACGCTTAGCAATGGGTTTGCCTGTCCTCAAGTTCTCAGCGTTCCTAGCTACCTCCCTCTTAAATTCGAGAAATGCGTCCTGGATTTCCGTCACCTTGGCCTCCTTTTCATCCAGTCGAGCCTGTAGCTCCAGCGCCACCTTGTCGTATTGAGACTGAGCTGTCGCCATTTGCACCTTGGATTCGTGGACACTGCGTAGACATTCGAGGTATCTCTTGGCGTTCTCACTGGCATTGATCTTGTCCTCTCGTCTCCCTGCAGAGCCTAATGCGTCGCCTCCTGCAGTTCCAGTAGCGGGGCTACTCTCTTGGGTTTTCTGAAGATGAGCTGCAATGCGCCGCTGGAGTCTGTAAGAACAAAACAGGACAGCAAATTAGCGTCCGGTGCGTGATTATTGCCCCCCGTTACAGCAACAACTTTCTTGGCATTTTTCTGCTGCAGTTCCTCTCGCGCATCGGTGGCCTCAGCGATGGCTGCTCGGAGTCGTCTCGCTTCCAGTCTCGCTGTCTCCTCCTCGTCCAACTCGTCGTCCTCCTCGTCCTGAACCTGCTTCGACCTTCGGCGGGAATTGATCGCTTCGGTGTCTTCCTCAGGCATAGTAGACCCATGGCTGGTTTTCAACAAGGGCATCGCGCTCCTAATAGATCTCGTCCAGAATTCGTTAGCTTGACTGAGCAATGGGCGTCGTTTCTTTCTTTCATGGTACGTAAGTTCTTAAAACGACTGTTCATTGCAGAACTGGTGCTGGTACACTGGATAGGTCTGGTCTAAGCACCATTGCCCGGTTAGATCAAGCAGGAACTGCTGGGGGACTTATCCATACACTACAGTAGTACATAAATAGCTCACATTATTAGTAGTACGAGACTAGTACTACTCGTGGTGATTGACTACTACTGTAGTACCACACTGATCCCAACAAACATTACTCAGTCATGGCGGAGAACAAGGGGTTTGCCAGCACTTGGTCCAGGCAAATGCGTCGGCGTGGGTCAATCTGCAGCATCTTTTCCAGCAATGCGATGGTAGTCCATGGGATTCGATTCGATTGACCCCACATCTCAATGACAACACTAACGCCATGGCGTTTGACAGCACTGAAGACCTTTTTTGATGGTGGCGCCAACGACACGAGTGGTGAGCCGGTCAACATGATGAACCACATTATGCCCAGCGACCACACGTCGGCCAGAGCAGGGCTGTATCGCTCACCGGCGACAACCTCGGGTGCCATGTAAAAGTTCTTCCCCACTTGGCCTCCGTCACATATTCTTCGAGTGTCTGTGGAGAGCCCGAAGTCCGTGATCTTGCACACGCCTCGACTCAGCAGCACGTTTTTTAAACGATAAGTCCCACTCCCAATGTGGAATAGAGATAGTGAACGCCTTCCAACACTTGCCGCATTAGTGACAGCACCGGCAGGAACATCGACGTGCGAAATCTCGAAGCTAAGAAGGAATGGAGATCATCATCCTCGCACAGCTCATTCACGAGGTAGAGCCTCCCGCCATGAACAAAGTGGGCGTATGGTTATTGCACTATGTTGTGGTGCCCCCCCCCGCTGGCCACTAGCATTGCTGCCGCACGCTGCTCTTGGAACGGGTCGTCGATCTCTCATGTGTCTTAATATTTGTTTCGAGCTGCGGCTGCTCTCGCGAGTGAAATACACTTAACTGCAACATGATCGTCGTATCCCGCCAGCTCACACTCGAGCACCTCGCCGTACAGCTCAACACTGAGCTGCTGGTGAAAGCACTGGAGGCCATAGAACTCGTATTTGGTACAAGCAATTGTGGCAGTAGCAGGCTCATTTCAAGAAGAGCGTTGTTAAAGGTACCGAGCAGCTCGTACTTAAGCGAGAGCTAGGGGCACTGCCTCCAGCACGTAGGCACCGGATTACAATTCAGAGCGGTTCAAAAATTACATCGTTTGTAGACATTAGATCGTGTGGCTCTCGTGGATCCAGCCATGCACGTTGCATGAATGTGACTTGTTGTACTGATGTGTTGCTTGAAGGTACACAAGACTTAATGTTTCACGGGGAGCATTCATTTACTTGTAGGCGGACTGGTGGTGACGGACGTGCATCTGCTGGGTAAGAGGAGGCGCTCATGGCTCGAGCGTCTCTGGGTGGACTGGCAGGTGCATATAGCCGCCCGAGCGGCTGTGGACGTGCACAAACCCGATGTGGCGCTGGTACTCGGCGACCAATTCGATGAGGGGAATCGTTGGACGTCAGATGCGGATTACGGCGAATACGCTGGGCGGTTCTTTCGGGTCTTTTCCAGCTTTTTGCCCTTGAAGACGCTGTACTTGGTGCGACTAGTTTGGAGCTACATGTGACGGGGTCACACAGCACCTTGCGCTAGAGGAAGTTATCTTCCGAGAGTATACAAACTCTCAGTGAACGGCAGTTCACAGGTCCCCTCTTTAATTAAAGAGAGCGAAGTGACCTAAATAAGGTAGATTGTAAACTGAGTATATTTATAGGTAGGTTAAGTTTGAGGTTAATACAAACTAACAGTTACCTATAGTAATGCAATGTCATTTAACCAATGGTTGGTTTTGAATGACCTTGGTACCTTGTACCAAATATCCCGGAGTATGACATGTCATACTCCTGAAGTGTGAAGTGTCACACTTCATGTAACCAGGGTACACTTAGTGCTACGTACCCCGTTACATCCTCCCTATTTAGGTTCGGTTTACCGACCAATCAGAATGAAGAGATGTTCGTCACAAACTCTCATTCTCAAAGTCGAAAACCATCGACTCGGCCGCGCGAGCGCGGCGGAGGCTCACTTTACAGTTAGAGCCTCGAGCAGCAACCTGTGCGCTCTTCGTCAAGGTCTCCACTTCGACCGTTAACATGCCTCGAGGCACTGCTAAGAGCGGTGCTAAGACACGCTCCAAGGCTGCAGCCGGTAAGGCGCAGGCCAAGAGCACTAAGCCTCACGGCAAAGGCTCTGCACTTAAGGAGGCTACTCAGGTGGCCTCCGAGGCGATCGGATCCTCGGGTGACGCGGCTGCGGACAAGCGCGCAAGCAGGCGCCGCAGTCCGTCGCCCTCGTCTTCAGACAATCGTCCGAACCCTCGGTTCGTAGAACGTGAGTTCAACTCGGGCAGTGAGGACGATGCCGAGTCCGAGAGCACTCATGATGCTCCTGCGGGCTCTGTGGGAGGGCACAGCCCAGTGCCCAGTGAGCACAAAGAAGACAGCGTGCAGTCGTCCGCTAGTGATCACGGTGATCACAGTCCCAGGACCTCTGTGCGCTCTGAGAGTCCGGCCGTTAAGGCTAAGGGCACTCCCAAAGCCGGTGGCGATGAGGAAGGGAGTCCTCGCAAACGTCTCTCGCTTGCCGAGGGTCTTGCGCGCGCTAAGGCCTCTAAAGCCGAAGGCGCCAAGCCCTCAAAGAAGCGTACCGCCTCTAAGTCTCCACTCCGCGAGGAGAAGGAGACTCGACGCTCCTATCAGAGTCTCTTCGACTCCTCGGATGAAGAGGAGGAGAAGGAGGAAGAAGAGGAAGAGGAGGGTGCCATTGTTGAGCCCCGGGAGGTCTCGAATGACCTCGACCAGCAGCAGGAGGATTTCCAAGCTGCCCAGCGTGTGCGTGGGGGTTCGGTGGCGGCACCCGTCAACCAGGGAGCTGCCATCAACTCAAGAGGGTATTGGCCTCCCGAGGAGAGCTCTGGGGCTGACCTCTTCTTAGAGCTTCTTGTCGCTCCTCGTGGCCTTGTGGGCGGCCACACTTCTAGGGGCATCTATGAACGAGCCCTTGTTCAGAAAGAACAGTTGTTCGTCGACAACGTGGAGGCTGCTCGGTGTGTGCTTCTCGCGCCACACCGCATTCCCCTTAAGGACTTCACGACTTGTCGTAAGAAGCCCGAGACCCGGGGTGGTCTCTATCCTGTTTGGGGATACCCCTGGGTTATGCCCGAGAACTGTCCCACATGGAGTTCTTGTGAGGACATGTTCTGGGCGTGGGTGGAGACTCTCAAGTACTCGCCCACGGAGTTATGAAAACTCCATGAAGATCAGCAGCTGTCCCACATCCTGGACCAGCGTGATCTTCGTGTGAGGTTTGCCCACTTGATCAGCAAGCGTATGCTGCCAAGGGACATCCTGAAGCGCGCGGCTTCTAGCGCTCACGATGAGCGCGGGTACGGTATGTATTCATCATCCGTACCCCGTTCGGGCAAGAAGCCCCGGACTACTTATGAAGCTGCCGCCGCTTCTGTTCCCAGATTGCGACAGCCTTCGGGCAGTCAATCAGGAGCCGTTCAATCGGCTCCCACGAGTTCTCGGAGTGGGCATAACCCCTCCACTTCACGAGGAGCTGTCGCTTCCCGCGACACCGTTGCTCCTGGAGGATCCGCTCCACGTGGAAGTGGACTTCTCCATTCCGGTCAAGCAGGGGCGGAGGTGCCCTCGTACGAGTACGAGTACTCGGCGCCTCCCGAGAGCCACTCTCGTTCGAGTGCTCCGACTGCGGGTCCGACACGGGACCCTGAGGTTGACCGCCTCCGTCAACGTCTCCTCGTGCTTGAGATTGCACTTGGCCTTGGGACTGGCGGTAATGCTGCCGCCCAGGCCGGGAATCAGGGCGAGCTCGCTCGTCTTGCGGGTCGCCTGGACCTGGTGGAGCGAGAGGTCGCGAGCCTGCACCTGCGGGTGGACCGCCGGGCCTCTTCGTCCGATCTGGACGAGGCCTTTCGCATGATCCGGACGGATCGAGGCTTTGTTGCCACGTCCGGAGCCGCCTGCGGCACACTCCCAGACGTACGCGTATGGTGCGTACCCGGCGTACTCAGCGTACTCGGCGTATGGGCGCCGGGGTCCCGTTCGTATGGAGCCCCCTCCGGCGTACGGTCTTGACCCGCAGCCTTGCCGTCCCGACCGAGGCTTGGGTGCCTGCTCCGACGCCCTCGTCGACGACTGTGACCGGCCCTCGCTTCGAGGAGCTGGGTCAAGGGGGGTCTGCGAGTCAGCAACCCCCTGCGGGTCAAAGTACCGCTTAAGACGTCCGACATAGAACGTCGGGTGCGTCGTCATTGACTTTGGAAGGTCGATGGTGTACGACGCACCATGTCTGGCCAGGACTGCAAAAGGTCCGATGAAGCGGTGCTTCAGCTTGTTGCTGCCGACAGAGCTGACAGTGTCTAGCGGTAGGTTCCTCGTGTCTAATAGCACTAAGTCCCCCACTTTAAATACACTTAAGTTTCCTCTTCCATGTTTGTCTGAGTACTCCTTTTGTCTATCCTGGGCCGCTGCCATGGCATCGCGGACCCTGCTGACAATGTTCAGCTTGGTATCCATAAAGGATTCCACCTGTTTCCGCAGCGAAACTGGCCTCACATCCGAGACCTGGGAGGAAAGGGCTTTCCGAGCCTCTCCCCCACTTAGAATAGAGGAGTCAGTGTTTCCTCGAAGAGTGAGAGGCACTCTGGGGTGGCGGAAGCCGTTCAAGTAGAACGGCGTGAACCCCGTGGACGCGTGCACCGCGTTGTTGAGCGCAAACTCAACAACTGGAAGCTGCGTCGACCACGTACGTGGCGCTGCCGCGCACACACTGCGCAGAGTGTCCTCGAGCACTCGATTGACGCGCTCTGTTTGGCCGTCTGTCTGCGGATGATCCGCAGTGGACATCTGCAGACGAGTTCCCAGTAAAGGGAACAGCGTTTTCCAAAACGCAGCAGTGAACCGCGGGTCTCGGTCCGAGACAATCGTCTCCGGGAGACCGTGATAGCGGAACACGCCATCGACGAACAACCTTGCGGTTTGTTCGCCCGTCACAGTGACGGGAACTGGAGCAAGATGTACCATCTTGCTCAGCCGACACACGAACACCAAAATTCCGGTGTTGCCGTGTCCGTCGGCGGGAAGCCCAAAGATGAAGTCAAGACTCATCGACTTCCAACAATCAGCCGGTACGGGCAGGCTCTGTAGTGGAGCCGAAGAGTGCCCTGCGGGTTTAACCCGCTGACATGTTTCACATGTCTTGACGTACCGGGCGACCCACTTGTACATGTGGGTCCACCAGAAGGACTGAGAGACCGACAGAAAGGTCTTCTCGCGGCCCAAGTGGCCGCTGGAGGGCGCGTCATGCGCCTCCGCGAGGATGTCGAACTTCAGATCCTCGTCGTTGGGTACAACCACCCGTGGAGGATCAGTGGGCTCTACCCGATAATAGAGGAGGCCCTCCTTCAACTCATATCGGTGGAGCCGTGAGCGCTGTCGCGACGAGAGCCAGTCGGACTTCGCGCTCGTTCCGGCCTTAAGGAACTTGACGATAGGCGCGACAGCCTCATCGTCCCGATACGCCATGCGTATCCGATCATATAGATCCGTTGTCACCCGCGTGATGTGGGCCAACTCATAGTCGGGACGCCTAGAGAGGGCGTCCGCAAGCACGTTGAGCTTGCCCGGCTTGTACTCGACGCGGAAGTTATATTCCGCGAAGAAGGACAGCCACCTCGCCATCCGTTGGGAGAGGTGAGGCGAGTTAGTCGCCGTCCTCAAGGACGCGTGGTCTGTGTAGATCACAAAGGGCGTAGAGCCCAGAAGGTGAACACGGAACTTCACAAGGGCATATTTCATTGCCAGGAGCTCCTTGTCATGGACAGGGTAGTTCCGCTCGGCGGCTTTGAGCTGCCTGGACTGGAATGAGATGACTCGTTCCTGTCCAGCCGTGTCGTCCTGCAGCAATGCACACCCGATGGCGTAATCGGAGGCATCGCAGACGACGCTAAACGGCTTCGTCTCGTCCGGCAGAGCCAGGACAGGGGCCTCTTGGAGACTGGCCTTGATGCTGTCAAAAGCATCCTGGTGCTCTTGCTCCCAGCGCCAGTCGACGTCCTTCTGAAGGAGGCTCGACAAGGGCTTAGCGAAGCCCGCGTACCCAGCGCTGTACTTGTGAAGGTAGTTGGCCAAACCCAACCACTTTCGAAGATCCTTCTGGGATCGGGGCGTCGGCCATGCTGCTATGGCCTTGACCTTGTCTGGGTCAGCCCGAACGCCCACGTTGCTTACGAAGCAACCGAGAACTTTGATCTCTGGTGACGCGAAAACGCACTTGTCGATGTTGGCGTAGAGCTTGTTCGCTCGCATCACGTCCAACACTCGACGGAGGTGTCCTAGATGCACCTCCATGGCCGTCTTGCCTCCCTCGGCACGGCTATGGACGAAAATGTCGTCGAAGTACGTCTGTACGAAGGTACGCAAAGGGCGGAACAATTGCGTCACCAGGCGATTGAACGTCGCCGGGGCGTTAGACAAGCCCTGCGGCATGACGAGCCACTCCCAAAGCATGCCGCTTGGAGTGCTTACCGCGGTGAGCGGGATGTCACTCTCTCGCATCAGGATTTGGTAGTATCCGTCTACCAAATCCAGCGCACTGTACAGTACGCTCCCGGCCATGTTGTTCAACAACACATCCTTTTCGTGGGATTCGGTGTTTGGGCCGGCACCGTTGCGTTGTTTCAGCTTTGTTATAAGCGTGAACCAGACGCCACTTTCCGTTCGGCTTACGAACGCAGAAAGTCGGCGTCGAGTGCGGGGATTTCGACTCCCGCACCATGCCTGCCTTCGCTTTCGCGGCGAAGAAGGCATCAATGACCTCGCACTGTTCGCGCGGGAGAGGCCATTGCCTCGTGACACAATACTTTGTGCCGGGCACGAGATCAATCTCGTGCCGTACGCCTCGATCCGGTGGGAGTTGGGTCGGTGGGTGTTTATTCACCACGTCCGCATACTCCGTCACCAAAGGATACACCGGATCCTTGGGGTTCTTGAGAATCTCAGAACCCAAGCGCGCCTGACGCTGCTTGTTCATGTCTTCCAGGACGTTCTCGTCCAAGACAGAGGAGGAGTTCAGCTCCTCCTGAGTGGTCTCAGGTCTCATGAGTACCATCTCAGCGATCTCTCCAGCCTTGAGGTTGGCCAGGAAAGACTCAGCCGTCATTTCCTCGAGGTTCAGTATCTCTGCAACCTCTGGCAACGGTTCCAAGTGGACACCAGATGCCTTGACGGGTAAACCCGTCTCGCTATCGAAGATGTGATAACACTCTTCCACCGGCCTTGTCGGAGGAGCCCGGGCCCTGGACTCCGAGTCGCTTGAAGCGACGTCGATCGGAACGAAGTTCGGATCCGACTTGAGGCGGCGGCGGCGTCTTTGCCGACGGCTTCTGTGACGGGGAGCTTTGCTGCCCACGTCTAGGGATGTCGTCGCTACGACATCCGAGGCACTCGTGGCCTCGTGTGGTACTGTTGTACCCACACAGGAAGCGTGTTCCACGCCTTCCTCTTCAGTTAAGGTCTGGGCGACCGCGTGTGGCACTGTGTTACCCACACAGGAAGCGTATCCGACGTCTTCCTCTTCAGTTATGGTCTGGGCGACCGTGAGTGGAACTCTGTTACCCACTCTGAACACGCTGTTCTCAGTGTTCATGACAGCTGCAGCTGTCTGCGGAACTAAGTTACCCGCCTGTGGACCTAAGTTACCCACTTGGCCGGCGCCTCTTCTGGGCGCGGCCACCATCAAAACATCCTCGGAGTCGTCATATACGTCGACGACTCCCAAGCATCTGCCGGATGCTTTGGTACCCTGGCAGCCCTCGCGGGCGCCCCGGGTCCTGACAGAGGTGGGAACATGACTCACCAATGCTCTGTCGGACTGCGCAGGGCGGCTGGCACCGATTGCCTTGCCTCGCCAGTCGATCCAGGGCTCGTGCTTCTCAAGCCAGGGCATGCCCAGGATCATATCATATGGATCCATATCGAGAACAGTGAACTGTTCGAGGCTGTCAAAGTCTTCAAACTTGACAGCCAGATCCACTTGGACGTTGGGGACAGTGACGACCTTCCCGTCGGCCAGTCGCACTGACACCGTCCCGTTGCCCTTGCTTTCTCGCAAAGCTTCGGACAACTTGTTGCTGTTACGAGCAACCGTCTGGCGGCGTGCGAAATTCTTCGACGCCCCAGAGTCAATCAAGATTCTAAAGGGGTGATCGTACCCCCGTACACATCCGTGTACTACGAGCAACCCGCCGCTGCTCTTCGCCGATTCGAGAGTGCGAAGACTCTCAGGGGCTAAGTCCCCGTGGTACGCGCCACCCGCGCACCCATCACGAAGACTTAGTTCTTCCCCAGTAGGGCGCCCCGCCCCTACTGGTTCCCTGCGTTCCCCTGTCCCCGGGATCCTGGCTTCTGCCAGCGACCCTTGAGGACGGGCTTGGGGAAGGACCGTCTGCGGAGTCTTTCCGCGGGACAGTCGCGCTTGAAGTGGCCCATCTTCCCACAGCCGAAGCAGCGGATGTCACGCTGTTCGGCGGACCCGAGTTCCATGGGAACTGGTCCGTTGGGGCTTGTTCGACCGGGAGCCGACAAGGAACTCCCAGGCCACGCTGAGGCCGGCGTACGCGCCTGGCGATGGCTGTATTCTTCTTGAAGAGCCACTTGAATCGCCTCTTCAAGGGTGTTTGCCTGCACCCGGAACAGCTGAGTGCGTGCGGGGCCCACTCGAAGGCCGTCCATGAACACAGTCATCTTGATGTGTTCATTGAGTGGGTTTCCCACTAGGGACGCCGTGAGCTCCCGTATCTCTTGCACATACTCGTGCAGTTCGCGTCTTCCTTGTTTACACGCGAGGAAGCGCGAACGCTGGCGGTACTCGTAGTTCGCCGGGAGGAACGCGGCTCGGAGCTGTTCAGCACAGCTGAGCCCAGGATGTGAAACATCCAGGGGATGTCGGTTTCCTCGAGGGGTACCGCCAACTTCTTTAAGCACG